GATATCCATCTCGTATAATATGGATAATGATGCTCTAATACTCTTAGAAATAAAACTTTTGATTAATTTTTAGTTATTATTGGCCACTAACCGATAAGAATGATTCTGAATGGTCAGGCGCATGACCCGAGCGCGCGTGTTGGGTCAATATGTTCCGTTTACAAAATGCAAACGCCTTCACTGCTCATTGTGTACTAACCTGACAAATTCCCTTCGCGTGACACTATCCCTTTTTAAAAATCCCCAAATTACCCCTCTACTCGTTTTCCTCAATTCAAGTGTGTTTGTTTCTTGGTTTTCTTGTTTTCAATCCTATTTTGTTTCTTCTTCTCCTCTGCTTTTTGGTAAAATGGCAGCACTTGACATGGCGACGATAACGGAATATCTAGAGAGATCTATGAAGAATTGTTCGCTGAGTAGTAATTGGAGAAAAAGATCGGAGATGATCGATGAGAACGACGATCATATCCCGATCCAAGATAAAACCTTAGACCTCAATTCTCACATCTCTATTCCTTCGCACCTGCAACAGTGTCTTGATCTCAAGGTAAACACTAAACAGAACAAACAGGACAAATTACGAACTTTTGTCGTTTTTTCATTTATCTTGCATTTATTTTTACAACCCTTGTTTCCTTTTGTGTTAAATGCTCACAGAATTTAATAGATAAAAGAGAAACCCTAACTAAAGATTCTTGCTTTATCTTTGGTGTTTGTTTTTGGGGAAGAAATTTAATTGGAAAGATCAGAGCTTGACCATGAGTAGTTTTATATACTTTTGGAATGAAATATGGAGGTGGTTTTTTTTATTTAGACAGGAGAGATTTACTACATGAATTGGAATAGCGGAATGAGAGTGAAGGAAGATCCAAGGAAATTGGTGAGCAATAACAATGCAGATGAAATGAGTGGTGAATCCTATGGATCTGTGTTTTCAGAAGAAGATAACTCGTATTATGAAAGCGAAGAGTCTTCATCAGAAGCCTCGCCTTCATCGACAGAGAATCACAAAGAAGAAGAAGATGTTCTTGTGGTTGCTGGTTGCAAAGCTTGTTTCATGTATTTTATGGTCCCTAAATTCTTAGAGGATTGCCCCAAATGTGCATCTCACCTTCTCCACTTTGGTCCACTTGATTCCCCATAGAACCTCTTTTTTATGGAGTTTGATTGGAAACCTCTCACTACAAGGAGTATACCGCTTAGACGGTTATTAATCGCATTAGCGGTATCGTATGCATTACAACCATTTATGTATTACCGACGTCTCTTATTATCTCGTCTAACTATTCCGTTATCACTTACCACTATTTAGTATCCTTTTGTGAAATCCCTTGTTTGTCTTTTCTCACTCTCATTTTTATTTTCTTCACGTAATTTTGTAGGCTTCTTTTTATTTCAAGTTTTCTCTTTTTTTAATTTCTCTTACCTATCTAGTGGTTGTGTTGTATATAT